CACCCTGGTGTCCCTGACTGAATTTCTTCATTCTTTGTCTTAGTCCTTGCCACACCCCCAAACCCACTGCTCCCATTTCTCAGGTCCCAGATTTCAATTACTCCTAATTCCCTCTCATTCCAGTTGTATCTCCCACTCCCAGTCCATTATCAGAACATAAATCTGATACCCATTTGCCTCTACTCAAATCAAATCTCAAATCTTGGTTAGGTCTCAATCTGAATTTTTATATGCCCCTCCCATCTCTCTACTGAAAATTCTAGGCTAAACCTTCAGGTATCACTCCAGGCCTGAACCATCCCCATTTACACTGTGCTCATCCCAGCCACGCCCACCTAATTCTGCCAAATGCACTCCCTCCACCCCCCACTTCCAGCTCAATCTCTCCCTTTCTCAAGCAGCCCAAGTCATCTCTAAGGCGCTGCTGGTCCCACCAAATATGCCAAGTGCCCCTGCATGCCTCGATTCCAGAGACATCCTACTGTGGCTTGTTTCTGCCAGCCCCTATATATCCTGCCACTTTGTGTCCCAACTGTCCCTTCTGCCCAATTCCAATACGCCCATACCCTTTCACCCCAACCCCCCCCGTACATCTCCCGCCCCTAACCGTGACTTTCTCCTCCAAATGCGTCATCCTTTTGCGCCTAAAGTCCTCCATCTTGCTCCCCTCTCCAGAAAAATCGCCCCCTCCTATCCCCCACTGCGTCGCCCTATCTTTCCCCTCCCCAAAAGCACGTCACTTTCCCCTCCTCCCATCAAGTCTGTCGTCGCCATCAAATCCAGAGCCCCCATCTCCTGTAAACCGATAGCTCTTCTCTGCTGAATCCTTTGCCTCTGCTCTCTTCCCCCAAATTCCGTCACCAATAAATCCAATGCTCCCGTCCCCTCCTCCCTGGGGTCTAATGCCCTTCTCTTTCCTAAAATTTTGGTCCCGATCTCTCAGTCCTTTGTCCCCCCACCAAACCGCTTTAAATCCATCTCTATCAAATCCAGAACTCTTGCTCCCTTTCACCCCAAATATGTGCTCATCTTCTGAACACTTTGCCTTGGCCCCCAATCCTCCTACCCACCCATTCGCCACAACTCTCTGCCCCTCCCCCAATTCTGTTGTTTCTTCCCTCTCCCTAAAATGCTGCCCCTTCCCTCCTAGTCCAAGTACATCGCCTCCATTCTTTCATCTCCCAAACCTGTTTCTCCATCCCATCGCTTCCCTGCACCCCAAAATCCCTTGTTCCTTCTCCCATCTCAAATTTGTCGCTGACCCCTTTGCCCCCGTCTCTTGCACTCCTAAAACCATGTCTCCTGCATCCCCTAATCCCTCATCGCTTCCCTCCTCTCCTACTCCTTCGGCCCACCGTCCCAGCCTCTCTCCCCAAATCCGTCGCCTCCCCCGCCCCGATCCTCCTCCAGATCCTGGCCTGTCACCTTCAACAGCCTCCACCTCCCTATGGCGTCCCTTCCCCACACCTGGATGAGCAGCTTCACGTAGAGCAGCGGGTGACTGAGCGCTGTCACTCCTGCGCCTAGCGCCACGAAAAGAGCTTCAGTGGTCGGGGCGTTGTCCCCGGAGCCCAGGCCCCCGGACGAGCCTTCCATCCTGCGGGCCGAGGGTTGCGCCGCAGGACGAGGGTGGCGCGGATGTGCACGGTGTGCGGGCGGTGGATCACGAGCCCGAGCCTCGACCCCGGCCGCCGCTCCGCCGCGAGCTCCAGCTCCTGCTCCGGCTCCCGCCATCCCCGCGGCACCGCCGCGAGCCCAAGGCGCCACTTCCGGGTCCGAAGCCCCCATGGCGCGGGGCGGCGAGGTCACTCCCCCGTCACGTGACGGGCGGACGCCCCGCCCCCGTTGGCGTCGGGGGCGGGGCCGGGCCTCACCACTCGCGGCCGCGGGGGAGTACAGGAGTGTGGTGCTGTGGGCGGTAAGCGTCAGATGTGGCCCCCAGGCGGGGTTGGGGCCTGGCTCACCACCAGGCTGTGGGCCGGGGGTCCGCGGTCGCGGGCGAGCCGGGCTCTGGGCTCGGGAACTGTGAAGGCCGCCACAGGCCTGGGCGCCCCCCCGGGAGCCCCGGAGAGCCGGGGCGGGGCTCGGCGACTCTGGGAGCAAGACGCTCCCAATATGGACTGAGGCACTTCCAAGCCCTTTCCGCGGCTTCGGGAGTTTTCTCCGCAGTTCTGGGCCCGCCCCTTTGCGTCCCTAGTCCTGAGCTCTGCGGCCTGTGAGGCCTCCTGCTGCAGGCGGGCCTCCTCGCTCGCCAGCCTTGTCTTACCCTTTTTGCCCTCCTCACCAGGGCAAATCCAGCTGTCCCTCGGCGATTGTCGTCATTCTCCTTTGCAGTCGAATCTTTGCCAATCTCTCTTAGAACTCAAGGTTAGGAAATGTGTTTTGCCCTTAAGTACTTTGGAATCGCCTTCACTAGATCTGAGGGTTTTAATCGTCCTCCAGTGTAAGCACACGCAGACATTGTGCTAGGCGCCGATAGTCTAATCTTTAGTTAATAAAAATGAGTAATAACTGGCTCTTAAATCTCATTTACTCTGTGCCAGACACTTTTTAAAGTGCTTTGCAACATGTTAACTCAAGTATGATCCTCACAACATCCCTATGAGGAAGATGTTTATTCTAGCAAGTGCCCTATTCATGTTTGTAAACGTGTCCAGCCCCTGTAACACCTAGAGCCTGCTAGTTGTGGAGGTGCTCAAGAAAAGTTTGTTTAAACGGAAAGTAATTGAGTATCCTAGAATTGGCAGGGACACAGCAATGGGGGACCTGATCTCTTTGTACTTATCCTGTCTTCACTGTGAGAAAGCGCTTTACAGTAGACATCTGCCTTCTGACCACTTAGTCCAGGTTTCCTGACATCTGCCCTTCCTGACTTCCTGCCTTGCCCCGTAGAAAGTCACACCCCACCATCTACACCTGACAACGCCATCTATACCTCCATACACTTTCCATGTCCAAATCCTGTCAGTCTACCCCTCTCCTTTTCTTTCTCCCCCACGCTGGCCTCCCTAACCCAGGTTTGTTCTGGTCTGAATCCCTGTAAAGCCCCCTAACTCAGGTTGCTGTGTTTTCCCTTGAAACACAGCTTTCATCAAACTTAGCTCCCACTCCCAGGAGCACTTTAAACGGCTTCCTTTTGCCTGGATTCTGATTTAGCTTTGTCAACGGGAACCTTAAAGTCAGGCTCATCCACAGCCTCATCTAGTTATAGCCCCTTGCTAACTACACCCAGAAAAAGTGGGGTTTTCTTCCTCTTAGAAAGAACCCCTCAGAAGGAACCCCTCACCTTCCTTCTGAAACTTCCTCTCACAAACCTCCTCCTCCCTGTGTTTCTCCAGCTGTATGTTTTTCTTTCTGAACCGGACTGTGTGTCCACCATTAGGCATTTCACTCTGCCTTAATGTAGGACTACATTGTGTTGTCTTGCATTGTTTTGTATCTTCCACAGCACCAGCTATGGTGATATACATATAGGAAATGGTCAGTGATTGTTTTTAAGTAATTGAAAAATTTCCCCAAGAAATTGAAGTGAAAATAGGTCAGTTAAAGCGTTAGACCCCTAGGGAACTGAGCGGAAGCAAATGTAAAACAGCTCTATAACTATATTTCCACGACCCAGGGTTCACAGGGACACCAAGAAGAAGAAAAACAAAAAAATCCTCGCGATAAAATAATTACAAACCACTCAAAAACACATTTCATCATGAGTGTGAATGGGCAGAACAAGAGGATTAACACTGCTGGGAATTTGACATAATAGAACAATCTGAAAGAAACTTTAAGGAGAAAACTGTAATTTTAAAAATAAAGACAAAGATAAAGAATAGAAAGTACTAAAAAAAAAAAGAAAGGAAAGGACATTGTGGGGAAAAAAAGGGGTATATTTGAAAAGGAATCAAACAGATCATCTAGAAATGAAAAATACACTCACTGAAATGATTGAATGAAAATCTTGCTCAGCATTCACTCTATTGAGCAACTTGGCAGTGTGTACTTAGAGCTATAAAGCAGTTAGTTCTGGGCTGGATAGTACCCCTCTGTGCTGCCATTACCCTCTGTGTTTGTCACCTTACAGGGAACTGTGGCTGCCTGCTTTCCTGTCAGTCTCCCCTGTTAGACTGTTGTAAAGAAGATGGGTTCATCTGGATGCAGGCTCCCTGTTTACTAGTTGTGGGTGAGAACATTCTGGCTGCTGCCTCTGGTATGCCTAGGGTATGGGTGGGTAGCACTGGCCTTCCTTATGTTCTGAAAACCTGGGGTCCTGTATCCACCTTAACTCAGGAAACACCTCTTGTCCTAATTAGGTGAAAACAAGGTACATTGTAACTGTCATCATCTTGGGAATTCTGGCATATCATATAGGTCACCAGATGTATTGACATGAGAGATTATTAAAACTTCTTGGAGAAACATGAAAGACAATTTGGGGCTAATAGTCCCAAGGCCTTGGGATGAAACCTATAAGAATGAAGAGGGAAAATGCGGCCTCTACACTCTGGGAGGACGTGGCGTGTCACAGTGAGCACAGTACTCGCCCCAGGGTCAGAAAGGGTCAGATGCCTAGCTGGTGTTCTGCTCTATCATCCTCTTCTTGGTGGAGAAAGGTGAGTCCATCTAAATCTCTTATGCCCATGTCTGTTTGTCCTGAGTGTGGGGAGAAGTTCTCTTCTCCTGCAGTAAAAATCAAAGGTTAATAGGCCCTTGCCCCGAGTCTGGGTGAGTTGGGGGATTAAGATGATATCAGGACTATTCAGTGGAAGGATATTCAGCACTAAAAAGAAATGAATGATTGATATGAACAATGACATGGATGAGTCTCAAAAACATTATTCTAAGTGAAATAATCCAGACACAAAAGAGCACTTGTTATATGATTCCATTTATATAAAGTTATAAAACAGGCAAAATTAATCTGTGGGGATAAAAATCAAAACAGTGGTTGCCTATAGAAGAATGACTGGAAAGAGGCATGAAGAGCTTTCTGGGGGAATGAAAGCATTCTTCATCTCAATTGGGGTGGTGGTTATGTGAGTGGGTACACTAGTTAAAGCTCACCAAACTGTACTCTTAAAATCTGGGCATTTTATTGTAAGACCATTATTCCTTAATTAAGGAAGAAATATCTCAGGACTAAGATTCTTGTTTCCTTTTAAGTGAGTATTTAGGGGTTTTAAAGGGAAGGTGCTATCAAAATGTCTATTGCACACATTCATGTGAATTCTTATGTAACTAGAAAAACAAAACTACTCCCTTTTTCACTGCTTCCCTACCAGCCTGTGACAGAGTCTGAATCCTTATGTGCAGTGATGTGCTGCTAAGTGTTTAATAACTGGCTCTCTAGGAAAAGAAAAGCCCTGATTCTAGCACTTGCTGATTCATGTGGTGTAAATACTCTCACTGTGGCTGATTTCATGCTGCTAATATGATGTTACTAAGCGTGGAGTTAAGAAAAAATGGGCACCGTTGACTTTCGCAAGCCAGTGGGAGCCAGCTCCAGCACACCCCTGTGACAAGCCTTTATTGCGAGGCTTCAGGGGAGTCTTGGCAGAGCTGAGGGAGGCTCTGGGTGAGCAGTCATTTCCTATTAGCTTGAATGTGAAGGATGGTGGGCAGGAAAGGCCATGTGAGATACGACCCCATTGTAAAAGGGATTGCAAGCTATGGCAGTTTGGCAGCTGTATAAAGGGTTAGCAACCCATTGGCAGCATAAGGATTTCTAAGTGAAAATATGGGTTATTTCATTTAAAATTCCTGAATTCCAATTTCTCTTGAGGAGAACAAAGACCTAAATCTAGCACCACAGGACCTGCATTGCCTTCTGACAAGAACAGATCATAACAGGCTAACAGCTGCCCCTGTGAGAAGGACATGGATTCTGCACCCATCTCTGCATCTCAACAACACACCTGATGCAACCAGGGGTGTTACCTGTATGGCTCTAGTTACCATTTGAATGTGTAAATCCTGGTTTAGTCTGTCCCTTCTCTGAGATTTGATGTGGTTTCTGGTAGAACAGTGTGTGTGTGGACAGTTACTTGCTATGAGAGCTGAGGAGTATCCATTTCACAGCCACAATTCTCCCAGTTGGAGAGACCAGACTTGGCATCCTCGGGCATTGCCTGGACCTCTGATTCCCAATTCTGGCTGAACATTAGAATCATGAAAGGAGTTAAAAAAAAAAGCTCAGGCCTCAGCCTAGACAGTTTACTAAGAATCTCCAGGGATAGAGTCTGGAAATTAAACTGTTTTAGAGAACTCTATAGATGATCCCAATATGCCTTTGTTTTTTCAAAGGAAGGTACCGCTTAAGGTGCTTTTCCCTTGGAACAAAAGAAAACTCACATGTAGCATCCACCTTAAGTTCTCTTTCCTCCCTAGGTTGTGGTTTCTGTTCCAGCCTCTAAGAAAGGGGCAAAACACTAAGGAAGGTGTGGCTTGCTGACTCCCACTCCTGGGAACCAGGTGGAAGTTGCATCTTGTCCAGAAGGCTAGGGCCAGGGTTCCAGCATGGAACAGAGGCAGAATGAATTTTAGCTCATAGTGAAGCTAGGTGCGCTGTGAGAGTCCAGGAGGGTCAGGAGGTAAAAATGTCCCTTCATTCCTTCAACCAGTATTTGTTGAGCACCTACTACATACCAAGCACTGTTGCAGATGCTGGGGATATAGTGGTAAGTAAAACAGACAAAAAAATGCCTGCTTTCATGGAGCTGGCGTTCTAGTGGGGAGACAGATAATAAACATTATAAAGAAATCAGTATATCAGAAAGCAATAAGTGAGAAAAATAAAGCAGGGGAGGGGGACTGGGAATCCGTGGTGGTATTGCAATTTGGGGGGTATGCTAGGATAAGGAAAGGCCTTCGTGAGAAGATGACACTTAAGCAAAGATTTAAAGGAGACTAGAGGGTAAGCCATGCAGGTATATGGCAAAAGAGAGTTCTAGGTAGGAAGAATGGCACATGCAAAGGTCCTGAGGTGGGAGTTTGTCTGGCAGGTTGGAGGGCATAGTGCCCAGAACAGAGTGAGAGGGGGGAGAGTAGTAGAAATGAGGTCATGGAGTTGGGCCTTGTAGGCCACTGGCTATGGATTGGCTATGACACCCAATGAAACAGAAACTTGATATATCCCTAATGTAGACCAGACAAAGGTGGCCCTTGAAAAGAGTGGGGAAACTAAGGTGAGAGTCATGGACATTCAGCTAGCTTTCTTTCTGATTTGCCCTGTAGGGGACTGGGACTATGATGGGGGAGGGTGATGGCTCACTCACACTGGGGCACTGAGCCCCAAGATGGGTGGAAAACTGAAGGGTGTATGTATGTGTAAACCCTAAGGGGCTGGGGCCTAAAGGAGGAGACAGGACAGGGCTGGGGCTCATTGGAACCTGGTCAAGGTAGAGGGCAGGAGATGGAGGAAAGAGAACCCTACAGTATCCTACAACCCCTTCCTTCATGCTCAGTGTCCTGCTCCCTATTCAGGAAGATTCATGGAGGAGCTACTATGTGGCAGGCATTGTGCTAACTTCTGGGGACACAGAGACACTTAGGACTAAGGCCTCAGGTGAGATTTAAGAGTGTCATGTGTCACATTTTCCCAAGTTCCTAGCACTGGGGCTATTTGTTGAAAGGAAAGAAGGAAGAGAGAATCCTGGTAGGAAGAAAGAAGGAATCATGCAGCTCTTTGTTGGAAGAAATGGATTTCATGTGTGCTTGGTTATATACCAGCCTTCCCAGAAATGCATAAAAAAGGAGCTTTGTGACAGAGAAGTTGCATTATTGGTGGATCACAAGCAGAAAACAACTCCTGCTGACGTGTGGGAAGATGGGCACAGGTGTCTCAGGCTTGGGAGGTGGTCATGGGAGAAAGGTCACGGGCGGGGAGGGCAGCTGGCTGTGCGGAAACAATTTGTTCTTTCTCCACTCGGAAACCTGTTGGTTCTCTCCAGGCTGCTCATGTTTCTCCATGAGGAAGATCTAGCAGGCCCCAAGAAAGGCCCACAGCTGTTTGGAGATAAAAGGAGCCTGACCTGGGGTGTGAGGCCCCACCTGCTGGCCTTGTGCACACCCTCTGGGCTCCTGGGAAGGCGCCACCTGGCACCATTCCTGGGCTCTGGCCTTGCCTTGCTGGCTCCCATCTGGCGCCTCCCTGCCCAGACCCCAGCCCTAGCTCTGCATGGGGGGACCTTCCCTCCCCCGGAAACACGACCCCTCCCTCTGCCCCCTCCTGGCCCCCCTCATGAGAGTGGGGGCGTGTCTCAGCCTCCTGCATGTTCACTGCTAGGCCAGCCCTTCTGCAGTTTCACACATGCCGCCCTTCCCCCTCATCCCTGCTTTCCCAGGATGCCTTCCTCACCTGAGGTCGGCCTTTGGTGACCTTGAGGTCTTCTTGAATAGTGGGATGGGGCCAAGGCCTGGCACAAGTCTTGCTCAGTCACTAAGAATGCCAGCTTGAAACTAGATCGTTCACATGCCGAGGAAGAAAGAGCTGTTTTTGTTCCCTGACATCTTCTCAGCCACCCACGTCAGGACTGACACATTTGCTGTCTTGTCTTTTAGGCCTCTGCACCCTTAGAGCAGACCCTCCCCTGGCACATGTGGAGGGAGGTTGATTTTGCCTCCCTGTGTTCCTCAAGGCGCTAAACAGCTCTGAAGAATCACATCCTGCAGACTGACAATACAAGTTAGGAACAGCCAGACCACAAAGGGGCAGGGGCACACAGAAGCCAAAATATGGGAAGCTTCCTGGGAAGGTGAATGGCAGGAAGCGGATGGGCTGCCTGAGCCTGGCATCCAAGCCCACTGATGGGCAGGCAGCAGCACCAAGCCCTCCCAGAAGACAGGAAGACAAGAGACCTCAACAAATGGTGGGTTTGCTGGAGGGACAGAGTGGGAAGATACTGGCTGTTTGAAGGAAGGAATAGACGACAGGGAGGCTGGCTTTTTTCAGCCCTCCTCCTCCAAGCCAGGGACCGGCAAGGAAGGCCCACACCTCACATTGGCACTGGTGGTGTGGCCTCTGCCCACCACATGAGTATTTAGAGAGCCCCCGCCAGGGCCTCCCCAAGACTAGTTGAGGGTAGAAAACTGAAGGGGAAGGGGAGGCTGTGAGGGAAGGGGTGGCAAGGGCTGCACCAGCCGCAGGAACAAATTTCAGCCAGCTGCCTGCATCTCCCCCAGAGCCACAGCATCCCTTGCTCACAGGCCTGTCTGTCACAGGCCATTACACTCTGGGCAGGTGCTGGGCTTGCCTGAGGCTGGGTGCCAGGTTGGGAGTAAGGGGTCCCAGGGAACATGCCAGCCTTGGGGAATGGCTTGCTGGGGATAAATGGTACTCTGGGGAATGCTCACTCTCTCCAGAAAAAGCCATATCCTCACAAACCGCTGGAGATTACACACACACACACACACACACACACACACACACACACACGTGCGCGCTCTCTCTCTCCCCCTCTCCCAGCATCCAGGTCCCAAATGTTGACATTTCCTCCCTGACAGCCCCCAAAAGCCCTCTCCTGCCCCAAGACTTCCAGTGACAGGACCAGTGAGAGGCCCTTTGGGTGCCCCAAGTCTGCACACAAAGCCCTCTTTGCATTCCAGGGCAGCGCTT